TGGCTTATAGTTTCGAGTTCAATCAATAGAGAGGCAGAGAGAGGCGAGAGTCTCGAAAACTCGAGTCTTAAAGGAGGCAATCAATTGGGATTTTAGGGTTGAAAGTTGAGAGAAGCAGAGAAAGGCGAGAGACAAGTGCCATAGAAAGAGGAGATGGTGTTTGGGATTTTAGGGTTTTTGTGCACACATTAAAAGCATCTCCAAGAGGCTAGCTAAACCCACCCTTTTAGTTATTTTAGATAACTTTTGCTCAAAATGTTGCTCCAAGAGACTAGCTACTCCTTTATCTAAAATAGATAACCCTATTTTCAGTCGCTGGATGTAGCCAGCCCTTCTCCCTCGCTGGCTCTCTCTCTCTCTCTCTGTGACTGAAGCTCCACAGCACAGAACCGACAAGGCTTCATCGCAGGCTCCACCGAAGATCACTGAAGCTTCACCGACATTCAGTATCATTGAGAAGGCTCCACCGGCCTGATTGTCTTGCCTCCACTCCTCTCCATCGCCAACGCACGCCTCCGTCATCCGCCCACCCTTCCTCTTGCTATCTTATTTGTGCATCACCCTTCCTCTTGCTATCTCTGTTCCTTTTTCCCTGTAAGTACAACTCTACAATTTCAAATTCCCCCTAATGTTGTTTTAGGCTTTTGATTTTGTTCTTTTGTCTCAAATTTGTTAACACAAAAAAGATTCAAAATACCTTCTTCAATGGTGGAGAGGATTTGTGGTGATTTTTTGTTTTCATGTTCTAGACTTGATTTGTTTGAATTAATCTTCGTTGATCTACTACATTTTGGTATATCTCCGTCTACGAACATGAAAAGAAAAAGTCAGTTTACTTGATTTGGGGAATTTGTTTAGCTCTGTCAATTAAGCAATTGATCTTTGTTCAGTTTTAATTAGTCAAAAAACTAAATTGGTTTCAAAATTGTAGTTCAGTTTAATTGCCATTCATTTTGCTTTTAAAAAAACTTGATGGGTGTTGCCTGATTGTTCAATTGTTACTTGATGGGTCTTGCCTAGTTGTTCAATGTGCGTATTGGTTTACTTTGGTATTGGTATGTCTGGCATTGTTCAATTGTTCAATTTTTCCTGTGGAATTGTTCTAGAAGCTGGGTATGTATATTTTGATCATGATGTATACTACAGATTGGGTTGTTGCAAAAGCATTACATATGCTGGAGGGGATTGTGTTTATTAGCTCAAAATTGAGCCTTCTCGGTTCATCATGGATTTGATGTTTATTAGCTCAAAACAAACTGGTTCAAGACTTGTTCTTGCTAAATTTGGGATTTTTTTTCTTTCTTTTGGGCTTGTGATATTTGTTATTATCTGTGTTATTTTTGATTTTCTTGTTTTGTTAGTGTTGGAAATTAGACTTCAACTAGGACCTCTTATACTTCTGCTTATCTTGGATGCTATGTGTTGCCATGGAAAATCATTTTATCTTGTTGTGTTGCCATGAAAAATCATTTTAATCTTAGAATCCAATGCTATGTGTTGCCATGCTATTGTTCACTTCATGCCTTTGTTGATTTATCTTGATTAGTATGATTGGAAGCATTGGGTTTTTGTTGGATGATCATGGGCTTTGGTTTGAATTTAATTAGGTTGGTTTTGTTTGAGAGATCTCATTGTTTAATTGGAGTAGTTCAAATTGTTTTCTTGCATTGGGTTTGCTGGACCTAGAAGTTATATAGAGTCAAGGATGGTTGTTGTAGGAGTTGAACACTACTTGTCTCATCTTATAGGCATTACACATGGATCCATTCCAACATGGTACGTACTTCACCAATCTCATGCATGATGGAACAAATTTAGATGAAGAGGTTATAGACCAATCTTCACCAATATTTCCTCAAGTAGAATCCACCACCAAAAAATGAGGTGGCAATTTTACATCAGAGGAAGACATTATGAGAATCTCGGAGTGGCTTAGTATTAGTTTGGATGTTGTGCAAGGAAATGAGCAAAAATCAAAGACATATTGGCAAAGGGTTTGCGAGTTCTTCCACGAATACAAACCTAAGTCATGCCCTAGTCGTAGTCAAAATTCTTTGATGAATCGTTGGTCAACAATTCAGCTGGCCACCAATAAATTTTGTGGGTGTTTTGCACAGATAAAAAGACTGAATCAAAGTGGTTTGACAGAGAAAGACAAGGTATGAGTGAATATTTTTTTACAAAATAGTGTACTTTTAATGACATGATAATGAGTTTTGTTGTAAAATTTTTCAAATTCGTGATGCCAAAAACTTGTACAAGGAACTCTATAAATCTTCTTTTCCGTTTGAATATTGTTGGAATGAGTTAAGGTATCAACCAAAATGGATGGAGGATTCTCAAGCAAAGAAGCAAAAACAAAACATAATGTAACTCCTGGTAGCTTCGTGCCTTCTACAACGGACTCCATAAATTTAGGAGATGATGGTGGGTCCTATGGATCCTTAAACAGACTACCAGGAAGGAAAGTTGAGAAAGCGCGACTACGAAAATCCAAAGGCAAAGAAGCTGAAGGGGATGCAAGAAGTAATAAACTCGTGAATCTGTTAGCAGAGATGAAGGAAGAGAAAAAGGTAGTAAATGAGATGAAATTTGAAATGTTTGAAAAACAATATCTTCAAGAACAACAACGTCTACTTCAAGAACAACAACGTCTACTACAAGAGAAAGAGAGAATGCAAATGGAGCAAGCAAGAGAGGTAGAACGAATAATGTCGATGGATACGAGTTGCATGCCTCCATTGCAAGCTGAATATTATCAACGCCGCAAAATGGAAATCATGGGAAAGAAAATGTAGTACTTTTTTATTGATAGACAAACAACTTTATGTAGTAGTAATGAATTTGTAAAAAGTACTGTAATAACATTTGCTTAAGTAGTGCCTAGTAGTTTTCATGCATATTTCACTCATGTTCGACTAGATGAGCTTGGAGTTTGGAATGAGTTTCTTTGTCTCAAATGCAATGCTGAGTATTAATAAATTGTAGTAGTTCTGAACTCCGCTCAGGTATGACTGTGGCAGTGGGACTCTCATCTATTGTATCATAAGTAAAGTCTAACTCATTAGCGTTCGACTCAGCCTCGACAATCATGTTATGTAATATTATGCATGCCTTCATAATATCCTTAAGCACTTCAATTGTCCAGAAACGTGCTGGTCCACGCACTATAGCAAATCGTGCTTGGAGCACTCCAAATGCTTGCTCAACATCCTTTCTTGCTGACTCTTGAGATTTTTCAAAATGTATTTGCTTATTGTCTCTTGGAGATGGAATTGTTTTGACAAATGTTGCCTATTTTGAATATATACCATCGGCAAGGTAATACCCCATTGCATTATCATTTCCGTTGACTGAGAAATTGACTGGAGGAGCCCAACCTTCTGAAAGGAGAGAAAAAAATAGAAAAACGTTCTAGTACGTTGATATTATTATGAGATCCAAGTAACCCAAAAAAGGCATGTCAAATCCAAAGATCATATGAAGTCACCGCCTCTAAAATAATTGTTGGTTCGTGGACGTGACCAGAATACATATCTTTTCATGTTGTTGGACAATTCTTCCATTTCTAATGCATACAATCAATACTACCCAACATCCCAGGAAATCCACGATTGGTTCTCATTGCTAATAATCTAGCAATGCCATCGTTATTTGGTGACCTGAGGTATTCATCAGAAAAAATTGTTACTACTGCCCTCACAAATCTTTTCAAATTTTCTATTGCGATGCTTTCGTCAATCCTCACATAATCATCAACAGCATCTGCTGCAACTCCATAAGTAAGCATCCTTATAGCGGCTATCATCTTTTGAAGGGAAGACAAGTTAGTAGTTCCAACAACATTTTTTTTTTGGATATGGATCACAATCTTTCACCTTGGATAGAATACGAAGGAAAAGGGTTCGATTCATTCGAAACCTTTTTCGAAATAAATTTGGGGGATAGATAAACGGCTCAGCAAAATAATCACGATACAATCTTTCGTGGACTTGAACTCGATTGCGAAAAATAACTGAATGACCTTGAATGGAACCATAACGTATGGCAGAGCTTTCCTCGCTATTGAGTTTGTTCATTTCAATAGCACAAATTGTTACCATCTCCAATTCATCATCAAAGCTAGAATCGTTAAGAATCATGTTCATTACACGATGTCGAGCCATAACATAAACACAAAGAAGAGTTTATAGAGAAGAAATATATTTGATGTGTATGACAATAAGAGATGGAAGATCTTATTTATACATATCCAAAAAAATATGATTGTTAAAAAACTCAAATTTTTAAATTTTAAATTTCGTGACCGTTGTAAATATGACCGTTATTAATAAAAATTAAAATTTTAAAATTTTGATGATGTGGCGTAACACGTCAGCATGTGATGTCATCAATATGGTGATAACATGGCATACTAAATAATATTTTAGATTTTATTATTGAAAGTTAGTTAAAATTAGTTAAAGTGGTTAATTAAAAATAGATAGCGTTGTTGGAATAAGTTTAAAAAAGTAGTTAACTAAAATAGATAATACAATATTTAAATAAATTTTGAATAGCTATTTTAGATAACCCTCTTGGAGATGCTCTAACGTGTGTGTGTGTGTGTATATATATATATATATATTTTTTAAATGTTAAAAAATTAAAAAAAAAATGCATGTAGAATAAGAATACAAAAATTGTGCGCTACACATTTCTACCCAATTTTTTACAAAATATGAAAAATTATTCCATTGGCATACTTGATTTTTTACAATAACCAATCAATAGGGTCAAATAGAATTGAAATATGCGGATAACCAAAAATTTGAACACCTCTACTTAAAGTCTACAAAGGTTCGCTTGCCATGTTTTTTCGTGTGATAAATAGTTATGAAGCATTGGACACTTCCTTAGAGGTGTGGTTGATTTCTTCTGTTCATTATATTGCAAACAGCTAGAAACCTGAATGCTGAAAAAGATGATGCTTGTTATAATTATTGTTGAAAAAGATGATGCTTGTTATAATTATTGTAACTCCTTCAATCTATTAGTTTGTGGTACAACACTATCTTCTAAAAACTTCAAGAAGCCTTCTTAGACTTGTATTTTTTAGCACAGAATACATAAATTACCATGTTCAAGAAGCTCAGTCCAGCTAAAAGCCAGAAGAAATTGTCAAGGTGGCCCTCATTTAAGTTATCCGGTATCCAACCAGTCTTTCCACCTCTGGTGGTTACAGATGTAACCACAATTAGAATTAAAGAGCTCAAGTAATATCCCAATGAAATCGTCAGAAGTGAGAAGGCACTACACAAGGTACGCATGGCATTTGGCGATTGGTCATAGAAGAACTCAATCTGCCCAATAAATGTAAAGATTTCTGCAGCTCCCAACAAGATATATTGGGGAACTTGCCAGAATATACCAAGTGGTACTGCAACGGCTTCATCAACCAAACCCAGGTCCCTTGCAATCGCAAGCCGCTTGATCTCCACCAATGCAGCTGCTGACATGCATAAAACTGAAATAAAGAGGCCAATTCCCATGCGCTGTAACTTTGAGAATCCCCTTTCCTCGCCAGTAAACTTCCTTGCAATTGGGACAAGAGTCTTATCATATACCGGAACCAAGAAAATAACACTAAGGACATCAAAAGTTGAAAGAGAAGCCGCAGGAATTCTGAAGGAACCAATGGTTGTGTCCATCATCATTCCTTGCTCGACAAACATTGTTGACATTTGTGCATAAACAGTAGAAAAGACAATGCCAGTAGCCCAAATTGGGAACATGCGTATCAATATCTTCAGTTCCTCCACCTGTGTTACAGTGCAAAGCCTCCAAGAATTTGAGGAATCCCCAATCTTATCTTCAGCATCCGAGACAATAGCAGCTTTATCAAGGCACCTGCAGGAAAAATAGAAGTTGGTAAGGACTTTTCTTGGAGACTTTGGACTCCTCCTTAGGAATCCATTAAACATACCTGGGAATTTCCATCGAAGCATTTTGAAGTCCTAAAAATCAGTAAAATATACCATAACCAAGTTAACATAACATGAAAGTCAGACTAAACTACTTCCTTTTTACTCCTCTCTTGGCAAATGGAATTTGCACTTTCCCTCCAGTATTCCTTAAAATCATACAGGGTAGAGCCGCAAAGAAACTAATTTTTTAAGTAAAAACTAATTTTGACAACTATTTTGTGAAATCAGTTCATTGAGGGTGGGCTTGGCCCAACAGTAAGATTATTCCATTGTGACCGAGTTGTAACGGTCTCTCCACATAAGGAGGTAAGTTTGTGCACATCTGACCTTCCCAAAGCTCTGCAGTGGAAAGAGCCGCATGCATTTGACTGTCCTTCTCTTCCTTTTTATTTTTTAATATTGCGAAAGGGGTTTATATGCAGAATATATTGCAATACATGTGATTAAATTTAGAGGAAGGGAGCAAATCCGAAAGAGGAAGAAGTGAAAAGGCAAAATACAAAACAAATGCCACTTAAAAAAGGACTTCAAAAACGAAAAAAGAGCATTAAAAACGTATCAATATGTACATATTACATTTACCCCCAAAAAAAGTACCTATTTAAATTTACCAAAACCTAGCAACCAATAGGTACAACGGGAAGGTGAATGCATTTCGCTAGCATGACTCCTCTCTAAGTCACATTGGAAAACACATCCCCCAATATTTCTTCTTCAAAGGAGCCACAAACTTACAAAAGTCTTCTTTCAGTTGAGCATTTAAATGCAGACATGAAATTAATCATTCTTTCGAAGTAGTTTACTCCCAGCAAAGAAATGAAACTATTTCTTCAATGCAAGGAAGGGAGGTTGTGGTGTGAAAGTAGGGGTGAAAAGCATTCACAACTATCACAAAACAAGTTGCTTGCGTTATATACAACACCACTTATAAACAGTCAAGTGCATGAACATAAGCTTGTACAGTATGGAAGAACATACAAGATAAATGAGGGCATTTAGATGTCTTAAGGAAGATAAAGTTCCATTGTGCTTCTTATAAGAACTAGAACTTGTGACACACATCATGCGTGCACCATAGCTTTCATCAATTTCAGCTTTAAGATAGTGAATTATTACAGGTCGTTTTCTTATGATTTGCATAATGCCAGGGAATCTCTATTTAATTAGTCGATAAGGGTGGTTTTGTTATGATATACAAAATTCATAGGGCTTTCAATTATATCTTGTTGAAGTATAAATACTTATGTTACACCCTCTCTAATAGTTTAAATTTTTGAAGTAAATGGTTGTTTAACGTGATTTCAAAGCAGGAGGTCCTATGTTCAAATCTTACAATTACCCTGATAGTTAAAAATATTTTTACTGGCGAAGCCCAAAAACTAGCCTGCATGTGAAGCGCGTGTTAAAGTATAAATATTTAAGTTACACCTTATCAAACAACTTAAACTTTTAGAGTAGATGGTTGTTTAACATATCTAAAACATGAGGGATACTCCAGATAACTTATGAGGAGCCTAGACATTAAACACGAGTGGGTTGTTTTATGGAATATGGGTAGTTACTTGGATAGTTGAGAATGGTACAAGGACGACTCAAAGGCTAGTGAGACAAATCGAACGTGGTGTAGCATAACGGTATCAAGCGATACGCACAAAATGCAACTTAGAAGAAGCTATACATGATAAGAGATTCAAACTATATTGCACTATCACGAAAAGGTATCAGTTGATTCAATGATGATAACTCGAAAGACTCAAAGTTAACTCAGACATATTAAACATCTCGACCAAATTGCGTGAGATTCGAAGTGTACACGGATTGTGGAACGAATTGGATAGGAAGGTGTTGAGTTAATAGTCAGTTAAAATCCAAATAATCAAATATTAGGGTTAGATTTAGGGGAGAGAGAAAGAAGAGGAGAAAAAGAGAGATTAAGGAATATAATGTGTAGGCTAGTGTTGCCCTACATCTTCTTATTTATACCAAATGAGTAAATTACAATCTAACCCTACACTACAAATAATAAATAAGAACTCCATCGCTTCTACTGAAACTGGAGCATAAAGATCAAATATGTTCAACTTGGAACAAAGATTGTTGAAGACAGATCGAGCCAACAGTTTGGTAAGGCTATCACCCAATTGATTGCTAGACTTGATATATGATGTGACAATCTCCTTTTACATCAACAGATCTCGAATAAAATGATAATTTATTTCGGTGTGTTTAGTCCTCTCATGAAATACTAGAGTACTGACAATGAAAATAGATGTCTGGTTATCACAATGTAGCTCCATAAAAGAAGACACGATGATACTCATATCATGAAGTAGAAAACAAATCTACAATATCTCACACGCAGTATGAGTCATGGCTCGGTATTCAGCCTCTACACTCGAGCGTGCAAGTATATTATATTTCCTACTGTGCCAGGTAATAAGATTACCACTAATAAATGTACAGTAACTTGATGTAGACCGTCTATCAACACGACTGCCATCAAAAAACTAGTAATAGTCATGAACGATGAAGGACGATATAATAATCATTTAACCGGTGCTCCTTTCAGATACCGAAGAATACTACAAACCATCTCCCAATGAGGTTTACGAAGAGTATGCATGAACTGACTAATTATGCCAACAACATAAGTAATATCAGCACGTGTAACTGTGAGATAAATCAGCTTACCAGACAACCTCCAATAGCGTCCTACATCATAAAAAATTTCACCACTCTCACCATCTAACTTAACTGTAGAGTCCATAGGAGTATCAGCTAGACATGTACCAAGAATACCAATTTCAGATAATAAATCCAATAAATATTTTCACTAGCACAAACTGATACCTTTCTTTGCCCAAGCAACCTCGGTCCCAAGGAAGTACCGAAGAAGATCTAAGTATTTAACATGAAACTACTTTCCCAAATGAATCTTGAAGTGGGTTATATCATCTGAATCATTACCACTAATGATAATGTCATCAATATCCTCAACAAGAATAATAACACATGTGGAAGAACGCCGAATAAAAACTGAATGGTCTAAGGTAAAGGATCGAAAACCATACTTAAGTGTAACAGTACTTAATTTATCAAACCAAGCACGTGGTGATTGTTTCAGACCATATAATGCTTTCTTCAAATGACACACTAATTGTTCCTTCCCAGATGCAACATAACCCGGAGGTTATACCATATATACCTCTTTCTGTAGGTCTTCATATAAAGATGCATTCTTGATGTCTAACTAATATAAAAGTCAATCACAACTAACAACAACAGAAATAAGAACTCTAACAGAGTTAAAGTGAGCAGCTGGGGAAAAAGTGCTAGAGTAATCCACACCATATGTCTGAGTGTATCCTTTGGCAACCAAGTGTGCCTTCAATCGCTCAAACAAACCATCAGGGTGATACTTCCCTATGTAAACTCAAAGACAACTAACAGACTGCTTACCAGATGGGAGAATAGCAAGGTCTCATGTCCGATTTTCATGAAGGATTTTCATTTCCTCATCCATAGTCAATTTCCAACCTGGAGATGCCAATGCTTGAGGTAAGGAGTTAGGAACAAATACAGAAAACAAAGTCAATACAAAACAACAAAAGGATGAAGAAAATCGATGTAAAGATTAAAAATTTGATGTTTAGTACAGTTACGGGTACCTTTCCTCAGTGCAGTATAAAGATCAGAAGAAGATGAACTAGCTAACTACTCAGATTGTTGAACCTCAGTAGAATCAGACGATGATTGTGGAGCTAAAGCATATAGAATAACATGTATGTCCTTGGAGCGATGACCAACCTGCAAGGGAGGAGTAGGACTCGGAGAGGAAAAAGATACACAATTTGGTACAATAGGCAACAAGAACTCCCTTTGACTGGAAAGACTAAATCTTGGGAAAGAGTATTGTCTGACTTAGAAAATAAGAAAGATAACTCAAAAAAGATAATCTCAACACTAACATAATATTGACGAAATATAGGGCAATAGTAGCGATAAACTTTCTGAATACGAGAACATCCCAAAAAGACACTTGACTGAGGAGGAAAAAGTTTATTCCTGTTAAGCTAGTTGTTATATTTGGTTATTATTAGGGGTAGTCTAATCTTTTTCTTATTGTAGGGTTTACTATATAATATCTCTTATACCTCTTTTCCAAGTATTATTGATTATTAGAATACATGATAGATTTATCTTTTTTTCTCTTTTCTTCTCCTATTTGCAAATTTGATATATTTTCATGGTATCAAAGCAAGTGTCTTACACTTCGCTTGGTTTATCGATTTTTTGAATCGTATTATTTTTTTTTTTTTTTGCTAATTGTTGTTTCTCCTCTTTTTCATCACTGTTCTTTTTATTGTTTTGCTACAAACATCACTGTTGGTTATTGTTGCTAAAGAGTTGTTCCAAGCCGCAAATTTTGACCATTAAGAACCAAACCAAACTTGATTTGTTGTATTGTAGAAGTTTGCCGTGAACAAAAGTTGTGTGAATAGAAGCTGAGGATTAAACTTTATCTAATAGGCCTAGAAAGTAAAAACCAGATTCTCTGGACATGAGTTCACTTGGAACCGAAGTCTACTGAGTATAGGAGTCTGTTGGGACATGGGAACTAGTAACCAGAAGATGTAACCCTTATTTGCTGGGTATCATAATTTTCCATTTATTATTGATTATTAGAATACATGATAGATTTCTCATCTTTTATCTTTTCTTCTCTTATTTGCAAAGTTTGATCTATATTTTCAATCCAGACCCGAATGAAGAAGATGAACAAATGCAACACAACTAAAAGCACAAGAAGTGAGACCGAATGACGGTTTATTAGGATAGAGTAACGAGAACGGAGACTAGTAGTCCAAAATGGGAGAAGACATGCAGTTAATAAGATAGGCTGAAATACGAATAGCATTAGCCTAATATAATTTTGGCACATGCATGTTAAACATTATGGTGTGGGCAACATCCAACAAATGACAATGCTTACATTCTGCAACACTATTTTATGGGAAGGTATGTGGGTAAGTAATTTGACAAATAATGCCACGATCAGCACAAAAAGGTTTGCATAAACGATTGAGTATACTCAAGAGCATTGTCAGATATAAGAATTTTAATACGTATATCAAACTGAACCAGGATTTCATTGTAAAAAGTGTTAAAGACTTTAGGCAATCCAGATCGGTCTTTCATAAGAAATAACTCAAGTCATATAAGAGAAATCATCAACAAATATTATAAAAATACTAAAAATCAGAAACACTTTTGACTCTTACTGGACCTAAAATATTTGTATGAACAACATGAAAAGGGATAGAATGATGACTTGAAGAACTAGGAGGAAAGGAACTACGGTGAAGCTTGTCTAATTGACAAGCCTCACATTCTATCACATATGAAGAACTCAAACCATGGATAACTTGACACAATTTTTGCAAAAAGGGATGACCAAGTCGAAAGTGCCACTGAAGAGAAGACACGGTAGCACTCCGAGTAGGAATAGAAGCACTAGCATCTAAGTAGTAAAGTCCATTGCGCTTATGCCCCAAATCAATCACCTTCTTCGTCTTGAGATCCTGAAAAACATAAGAAGATGAAGAGAATATTACTAAATACTGTAAAGACTTAGATAACTGACTCATAGATAACAAAATAAAGGAAAAATTAGGAACAAATAAACCAGAAGTTAATGGCCAAGATTGAGTAGGGCGGAGATCGTCAGTCTCATGTACTGGTCGAAAGGAACTGTCAGCTAACACAATAAAATTAGAGAAGACGGAAGAAATATCAGACATATGACCACTAGCTCTTGAATCAATGATCCAAGATAACGAAGACGGTTGAGCAACCACACATGCGGAGTTACCTAAATTAGCAAGATTGGCACTAGGAACAAATAAAAGTGAATAAAGTGAAGATAATTGTTGGATGAGCTGACGAAGCGGAGAAGAAAAATTATCATGAGAAGCAGTAATTGATACAACTAGACCACTGGTAGAAGTCTAATGGACTAGAGAACCCAAAGTATCTCTAAAAACCTAATGAGAATATGTTGATTTCGACCACAATAAATACATTGCCTGGCCTCTATCAAAACGACCACCACATCCACTATGTCCTGTGCATATATTTGCATGACGGGTATTATGGAGCGAATCACAACCACTACCACGACAACCATTCAAAGTAATCATCGAAAAAAAAAACACAAGGGTCAGAAATCACACAAACAAATGTCACAAACCACATACCACAACTGATACCACCCAAAGCCACGTCAAGAGTGCAAAATCATAACCTAGAAGTCAAATAGGTTGCTGGAATGGTAGCCCAGGTGCAATCCTCACAAAATCTGAGTTCGAACAACACTAAGATGGACAAAGCATCTCTGAACTAGTGTGTAACCGGGTTGAATCCTACGGAAAGTGTTGGAATACACTACTCCGAACTAAACTTCAATGAACCGGAGCTGAATTGTACTAAACCAGATTGAACCAGCCTTAAGAGATACTAAACCGGCCCCAATAACACAATAAACTAGTGATACAAGACTGACTGGGCTGAGAATAAGATGCCCCGAAGGAGAAACTTACCTGAACCGAACTGATATAAAGGTAAAATTATATGAACTGTTCAGGTCTGAAACAATTGCAGCTAGTCTAAGAATAAACTGGTTGGCCTGCAGTTTGGACTGAAATGACTGGGTTCTAAAAAGAGATTTGGGCTGGACCTCTAGCTTAATAGGCTCCAACAAGAAGAGAAAAAAAGTGGAAAATTGGGCTTAAATATTTGAACCGAACCTAATCCACGGGTTTTAATTCTGACCCGAGATACCGTATTCATCCTTGACGCTGCAAATAACCAGAAACCCTAGCGACTAGCGCCTTACTGTGCACACAAATAGCGACAACCAATCTTTCAACACACCAGTGATCTAGAATGACTAGAACTTTCAACGATACAAACAACATCCATCCCTGGGGAAGATTTCAACAACCTATGAAGACCCAGTCATGAGCAATAAAGACGACCTCAACACGCAGATTCAAGAAGAATGTCAGTAATAAATTTTATTGATTTCAACGACTAGCAAACAAGCAAAATCAAGCAACAACAAACCCATCCCTACGGGAAACCCATTATTTGTCTGATATCACACTGTTCCATTGTCAACCACTACGTCGAGGCTATGATATCATTCCATCAAAACTTCATAATCAATTCAACATAACCCAACCTAATTTGAGAACCTCTATCTTGATTTCGTTAAACGGAAGAGAACCAGAAGCAAGAATGGGGGGAATAAAAAAATAAAAAGGATTGATGTAAGCCCTAGTTAATTTGCTCTGATACCAAGTTAAAATTTAAATAATTAAATATTATGGCTAGATTTAGGAGGGAGAGAAAGAAGAGGAGAAAAAGTGAGAGATTGAAGAAAATAATGTGTAGGCTAGTATTACGCTACACCTTCTTATTTATAGCAAATGAGTAAATTACAATATAACCCTACACTACTAATAATAAATAAGATCTCTAACAAAGTCCAATAACAATAAGAGTCAAATATCGATTGCATTTTTTCAAAACATGCCATCTAATAAGAGAAAGGGCAAGGAAAGCAAGAACAATGATTCATTCCCTATTTTAAGCGACCCCAAGAAGCACAGATATGGATACGGATACGACCAATTACAGACACTTTTGTACAAAATTTTTCAAAAAAATAGGACACGGATAAACGAGGGATACGTTACAAAAAATTATGTTTTGAATATTATATTATAAAATTTATCGTAAAAACGTATCAAGTGTTCTGACAAGTAAATGTTATGTCTCAACAAATGTGACTTTTTAGACAAAAGGATCCTAATAGTCACAATCATTGATTTTTCATTGCCAATGTTTAGCGAGCATACATATCTGTAATGGATGCCCACATCTTCTTCATTTCTCCATAGAAAAATTTCTAAGCATCTTTTGTTGTCATTACTAAATTTTAGGTAAAGCTTTAACATGAAGAATCTTGAAAATTATAAATTCTTTCATAATGCAATATAGTCGTTTGTGAAATTTCTAAGCTTTATTAATTACATTTCAACACAAACTAATATTTTACTAAACTTTTAAGCTTTGTTCATAAATATTTCCACACATGTTAATATCTTAGTATCAACATGACCTGAATATGTGTCCAAAGTAAAAATTATCTCTTAATTACTGGCACGGCTAAAAAAGTAACTCACTTAATCAAGAATGTTCGAGAAGTGTCGGCGTCCGACAAGGATACTTCACATTCGTAAGAGTATCCGTCCTTAGATGTGACCAGATGATTATGTCCATATATGTGCGAATTTTTTTATGAGTATTTAAACACAACAAACTTACTTCAGATCATCAGTGTGCACCAGTTTCCGACTTCCTTCAATGGCTGAGATTTTGTCTGGTGTTTCATAGAGAAGACTACTATCACTCGGGACCACCAAATTGCACTTGCGGAAAGAAGCAACCAAAACCTGGCACATTCTTGTAATGGGACTTCCAGCCAGTTTCTGAAATCTGTACAGAGGCGTGCCTGAAAAGAAACTCACAATAGCAACACCCATAAACAATGCAGGAATACCAAACCCTAGGCCCCATCCCTTATTGTCCTGAATCCATACAATCAAACTATTGGATAAAAGAAGACCGATGTTGATAGAAAAATAAAACCAATTGAAGAAAGATCCCTTCTTGACTCTCTCGTTGGGATCGGTATCATCAAACTGATCTGCCCCAAAGGACGAAACGCATGGCTTGATCCCACCAGTTCCAAGTGCAATCAGATACAGCCCAAAAAAAAGTAATGCATACTGGGCGGGAGCAGCTGAAGACCATAGAGAATCCACAAATTCAGCTGGCTTGGAAGAAGGAATTGATGCAGATAAAGTCAATGTGCACATTCCCTACAGTAATTACAACACATATGCATGATTTCACATAGCAGAAAACATTGTGATCCATTAGCCATGCAAAGACCAGACAAATCTAGCTCAATCATTCAAGAATTTTTTTGAGATAATCACAAAAAACATTTCATTAATAATGAAAGAAGGCATACATGAGGGACGAGAAGTCCTATAATCATTCAAGAATTAACCATACTATTTGGGAACCAATTCTTTTCTTTTTGTTGATTGGAATCAATTCTCTTCTCTCAAACCGTAAACATTTAACAGTGCAAATTCGGTGTCATGTGACAATTGGTGAGCCTTGAAATTACTTTTTTGTCCTAAACAGTTCTAAGACAAACATATATTCACATCCATTAGAACTTTAATAACTCCGTAAAATATTTCAATTTGAAATATGGCTGCATACTAAGCTCATTACCATGCCGATCTATAGAACAACTGCCCTTTAACTAAAGGATAATTTAAAAGAACCGGGTACTCTTTTAACAACTACAATAACCTTATTATTTAAAACTATCTTGTATTTCTTTATACATAAAAAGTTAAAAGCCATCAAAAATCAAAATGTTGATCATGGTAACTGTAAGCTCATGCATGTGCCTCATAAAGAACCATGCAAAGATGTCATAGGAAAGGTTAACCACATATCATCATCCACCTCTTGAAGAAACAAGTAAATAAAAGTCATGACACTTTATCTGACAATTACTATGAAATAAATAGTGGAGAAGGCAGCAATCATCCAATATCTTCCCCAATAAGCATCAGCCAAGACAGCTCCAATCAGGGGCGTTAGGTAGCAAGTTCCCTGCCAAGCGGTAACAGTTCTTGCAGCGGAGACATTTCCTTCGTGTAATTTTTTGGTGAGATAACTAACAAGATTGGTAGCAATCCCGTAGTAAGCTAAACGTTCACAACATTCAGTACCTATTTTTTGATGCAGAACTGTCAGAAGGATATATTAGTTAGCAATACAAGAAAGAAATGAAAGAAGTATGAAAAATTACCAAGAATGAAGGGGCACACTTTCCAATTTCCAGTGTTACTCTTCAAAACAGGATTTCCCTTAATGTCAACTGAACCGTCTCCTGTATAGAGTCCGCTGCTTTCATTCTGAAGATATTAAATACATCAGGTGGAGCTGGAACTAATCCTTTCTAGTGATGATGAGATGATTCTAATAAAAGTAAAAATTAAGGTTAGAAAATTATCTAGCAGCCTAGGGAATAATCAAGGAAGATTTGGCTCTGAAGGCTCTCCTTATAATTATCTATTATGCCCAACTTTCACAACAGTAAATAACCAATATATGTCTAGGCATGGCAAATGGAAAGCATTCAAGTCAAAACTAATTGGCAATGACTGGAATGGCCTACAAGGCTCATTTGTTAGTCAAGCAGGTGTTATTTTACCTATGTGGAGCAAGCATTACCAAACTCCTGAACCCTTTTACTCGCACAAGGAGAGACATCAGAATCTATAATCAAAGACACAATGAGTGCACTTAGGACAAACAGATAGAGAATCCATTACTAAATCAATGAGAATCTAGCAAAAAACCCTCCTTAAACCCAACTCTGTTACCATGTTAAAACATCCAAATCAAAACCAATTGGTAATGATTGGAAAAACCCACAAGATTCATATACTAGATAAGGAGGTGATATTTTACCGATGTGGGACAAGCTATCACGGTGATCTAATCTAAGCCAAGCATTCTTTTTTGCTTTTTCTCAATTATGACTAGCCAGCAGCTAAGGACTGCAAGAATCAAATTTACCAATCTTTCCCATTGAAGCCTAGGATAGAGTTTGCAAGGCCCAAGAATAAATGCAGGTGATGCATTCAGTTGTGCAAGTTAACCACCAGATAGGCCTCTCTCCCTTGTGTGTGTGTGTGTGGGTGTGGGTGTGGGTGTGTGTTACACAAACAAATGCACACACACACAGAACACGAGAGAGAGAGAGAGAGAGAGAGAGAGATTATATTGGACAATTAAAAACGACTAATTTCGCCCATACATGCAGTTTATTTAAGATGTTTCGTAAAAGTGAGGCTTCTTTCAACCTAACTAACCAATACTAACAAAAACATATCCTCATTTACGTGATAAAGCAATGCAGTGTTTCTTTCAATTATGCCATAAGAACTTTGTCAACATTTTATTTTTGGTAAGGAAGAAATTTATTTTAAAAGAATGAAATAAGTATAAATAACTTCAAAATATAATAGTATAAAAAAATAGCTTGATAGCATTGTCGAAATACGCAACAGAGTTCAATTAAAGTCCAATTAGTGTAGCTGAGGGGGATAAAAATTGGAAGGTTCAGCAGCCTGTGTAAACGATACAACACAAGGTAATTGTCTTTATATATCAAAGTATCAAACAATGACATGGGACGTTGGTAATTCCAATCAATGCGTCGTGCCTCTAGATAATCTCATATGAGCTAAAAAACCCACAGCAAGTTCAAAAAAAAACATACTCGCCATGCTAGAAAAGAAGCAGGGTTCAGACCTTATATATGAAACAAAGTAAGACAATATTTGCAAATTGTAAGCAGTTGCAAACAAAGTTTCATTAAGTTTTCAACATAATCTGTAATTTTTATGGTATGCCGGCAATCCAATTTGAGTCAAAAGATAAATTATCTAATGGAAATGTTTAAGTATTACCAGGACATTCAAAACCATTAGCAAAAAGTATAAGAAATGAAAACTTCATTTCAAACTCCACTGCTCAAGGAAGGGCTCCTTTTATGCCACACTAACTCGGAGATACATGACGGAAGCAAATGTAACAAAGTGCCAGACTAATCTAATTTCCAGGTAAACAATGACACACAAAGACAAGGATCAATTATTTGTACTCTACAACTATAAGTCTTTGCCTTAGTTTAATGAAAACATTGCAGTGTGGGAGGAGGATAGGGAAGGGTCAGACTTGGATTGGGAAAAATACTGGCATCATTTGCTCCTTTGCCTACATGCAGTTGGCCCTAGTTATGTGACGCCCCTAAAACTGGGGGTCCCGTTGACAACCCGTCAACCCGCGGAATGCCAGTGAGTGTCACTTGAGCCGACATCTCACCAATAATATCCCAATATCCAGGATTTTAACTCACACGTGTTACTCGTGTGTTCGTTATTCATTTACTCTTATCAAGATTCAATATACCCCAATATATCTCTTTTAAGGTCCATTTGTGTCGAAGGAACTAAGGAAACCAAAGCTCAAAAGGTTGACAAAGAAATTTTTAAAATTTCAAATTTTTAAAAGAGCTACCGGTAGGTGTTTACTACTGGACAGGAACTACCTGTTGACTATTGGTAGTCGTTGCCTGCAGGACAGGTACTACCTATTAGCTACCGGTAGTTAGTGCCTGCTGTACAGGTACTACCTGTTGGCTATCGGTAGTTATTGACTGCCGAACAGGTACTACCTGTTGACTACCAGTAGATATCGCCTGCTACCGGTAGGTTTTGTCCAGAATTTTATTTTTTTATCAGTTTTTCATTTCCAATTCAATCCAATCAAAACCTTTTCAAATCCATTCCAAACATGTATGAAGATGTTTTTTACAATATACATGATTCATACAAGTCTATTACAACTCATTCCATATCATTTACATGCCAAAATGGAATTAAACCAAAAGTTTTACATAAAACTCGGTTCAAGAGCCACAATCCGGCTCTTCTTCACCTTAGAGGCCTCGAATGTGTGTCATTCACCGGAATATGCCCTGTACCTGAAATGTTTCCCGAATAGGGTGAGCCAGGCTCAGTAGAAAGTTTCCAACAGAAGCTACTCCCCACCTTGATACATATGCAATGGCTTCATGCAACAACACACAACCAATATCCATTCCAATGCAATTCATTTTGGAATCACCCATGTCATGCCATGAATGAAATGAGATTCATTCACGCACCTCAACCCGAGCCTTCACCGGCCCTCACCACACTTTGCAATGTAAGTGTAAAACCTTTATCATTAATGAAAAACATCCAATGATCACTTTGAAATACAATTCATATGCTTTGAAAACTCTTTCATTGTTGGACGTTTTCCATTCAATGAACATTTTATACAACAAAACCATGTGTCTTTGTTGGGTATCGGATTCCGGAATCGCACAGCTGGCTCCATACGCCATTACACTTTTCTGGAATTTCACCTCAGGAAAGTGTATGAACCAAGTGACTGGATTTTTCACCCGATGGAATATTTAGCCCTACTTGCTATACCCGACACAAGTTTTTCTCATGCAACATGCGACTCCAAGGGATCTTCGATCCAACATCTCCGAGTCCACATATCAATTACCAAGAGTGGTATTGATTACTTCATGCATACTCACCCACACTCATGCCTAAGCTCATGAATGTGATGCAACCTCATGCCCAAAATGTAATAAATGCCACATGAGCAATATTAATCATATTCCATGAAATTTCATGTCATATGTACATAAGTTCCATAATTCATCATTATGCTCAACATACCAATAAGCATATATCCACATATCACAACAACTCAAACATGTTATTTACCTCAAAATAACAATATTAAACTACCCAAGGCATTTTATCAAACACCTTCAATGCACAATTTATGTTATCACACAAATCATATTATCAAACTAATTTGCCCATATCATTTCAAGGCACATTTGAACACATAACATATCCAAGCATAACAAATTCCAAGGAAATTACACAAGTAATTTCCTATGCCGAACTTAACTAGGAATTGGTCTAGGCCAAATTCCACACACATTTCCATAACCATAGTCAAAAGACCTAGGTTGTTCTACATCCTTACCCATTCCCTAATACAAACTAGGTAAGAAATCAACCCAAGTAAGAGAATCTCTACCTCTTGAAGCTTGAAAGAAAGGTAGAACCCTCTAAGCATCTCCTAGTTCCAAAATCTTTGATTTTCCCAAAGCTCCGTCTTTGAATCTTCGGTGAAAATCTTCGTTTTTGGCAGGTACGCGTAGCCCTCATCGCATAGACCAACTTTAATTCTTGGATCCACGGATTCCGACCGACGGAACTTGGCGGATCGAAGGAGAAAGCCTTAAAAATCAATTTTTCTCTCTTCTCTCTCTTTTCTCTCTTCTCCAACGTTGGAACCAGCCAGCAAATGAGCAAAATATCTGATTTTTCAGATTTTTAAGCCCTATTTATACTTTTAATTTCGTGGTCCACATCGGCCTGCTCGTTTATCACTTTCAGGTTTGTTTTTAACCCGAAACGATTTAATTAAATTCCGACTTCAATTCAAATAAATTTTATTTGAACTTTTATTCAATTGTAAGAAAATTTTATAATTTTTATTTTTTAGGGACGTTTAAAAGTTCATTCGTCACCCAATTGTCTCGAAAAGCGTAAAAAATTCAACTATCTCAAAATTCGACAAAAATTGACAAGACAACTCGATTTCGCAATGCGAATCCAACGGTGAAGTCCGTTACTCCATCCGAGCTTTATAAAAATATGCATTTTTGTTTACAAAAGTTTAAATTTACAGGGTTTTACATTCTTCTCCCTTTAAAAAGAATTTCGTCCCCGAAATTCACATACACATATACATACAAGCACATGCATATGCAACAGTCAAATAATATCAAATGATTAAAAGAATGTACCTCCATCCTCAAATAAGAAAGGATAATTGGTACGAATAGTGTCCTCGCGCTCCCATGTCACCTCCTCCACTCCTCAGTGTTGCCATAACACATTCACTAGCCTCATGGTTTTGCCATGCAAAACCTGATCCCGGCTATCCATGATGCGCACCGGTCCCTCCTCGAAGATCCCATCCGCATCAACCACAAGCTCTTCCCAATCCACCACATGAGTCGAATCCGGAATGTATTTCCAGAGCATAGAGACATGGAATACCGCGTGAACACCTGATAGATTTGGCAATAACGCCAACCGGTAAGCAACTGTACCCACCCTCTCGAGTACCTCGAAAGGCCCGATGTACCTCGATGACAGCTTTTCCCGCTTGCCAAACCTGACCACTCCTCTTTTAGGCATCACCTTCACGAAGACATGATCCCCCACCTCAAACTCCAGAGGTCATCACCGTTTGTCGGCGTAACTCTTCTGTCGGCTTTGAGCCGTAAGAAGACACTTCTGTAAAAGGTTCACCTTTTTCGAGGTGTCTCTAACCAAATCCAGACCCGTAGAAGATCTCTCTCCCACCTCCATCCAACATACCGGAGATCGACAAGGCCTCCCATATAATGCCTCATAGGGTGTCATCTGTATGCTCGCCTGGTAACTATTGTTGTAGGCGAACTCTACCAAGGATAAGTGATCTTCCCAATTACCCTTGAGATCTAGGACGCATGCCCGTAGCATGTCCTCTAACGTCTGTATAGTCCTCTCAGACTGACCATCTGTCTGGGAATAAAAAGCAATGCTCATCATCAACTGTGTACCCATAGCTCACTGAAAATTCTCCTAAAAACGAGTCGTGAACCTGGGATCCCGATCCAATACTATAGATATGGGCACCCTATGTAACTAGACAATCTCCCGTATATACAACCTGCAAAATTCCTCCAGTGTGAAGATCATCCGCACAACCAAAAAATGTGTCGACTTCGTAAGTCGGTCTACTATCACCCACACTGCGTCATATCCCCGCGATATTCGTGGCAAGTGAGTCACAAAATCTATTGTGATATGCTCCCACTTCCACTCAGCTACCTCCAAAAGCTAGAGTAATTCCGCTGGTCTCTGGTGCTCAGCCTTAACCTGTTGACACGTGAGACATCGACTAACAAAATTTTTAACATCTTTCTTCATCCCACTATAATAATACTGGCGATGAAGATCATGGTACATCTTCATGCCACCTGGATGCACAGCAAAACGGGAACAATGGAACTCTCTAAGAATCTCTTCTCTAAGCTCCACAAACTGGGGAACCACAATTCTTCCCCTAAACCGAAGACCACCATCCGAGTGAATGATCCAGCCCTCGTCACCAAAACCTGCCTGTACTCGGTCCCTGACAGATGATAACTCTGTATCCAGCCCCTGGGACTCAATCACCCTACTCAGTAGGGAAGGTGTAGCCACCAAACTCCCCAAAACACCCTGAGTCTGACCCATGTATCGTAGCCCGAACTGCCCCACAGTCTCGAGCATCTGCCCCTCCCTGAAAGCCACACTAGCCAAGATTCCTCGTGACTTCCTGCTGAGTGCATCAGCCACCACATTTGCCTTACTGGGATGGTAATACAAAGTGAAGTCATAATCCTCTAGGAACTCCATCCACCGGCGTTGCCTCATGTTGAGGTCCCGCTGTGTAAAAATATACTTCAGACTTTTATGGTCCAAAAATACCTCAAATTGTTTCCCGTATAAGTAGTGACGCCAAGCCTTCAAGGCAAAGACAATGGCCGCTAACTCCATGTCGTGCGTAGGGTAATTCTGCTCGTGATTCTTTAACTGTCGAGAACCATAAGCTACTACCCTTCCAGACTGCATCAAAACACATCCCAGCCCGTCCTTCGAGGCATCACAATAGACTGTGTGATAGGAGCTGAAGTAAGTCTCCTCTTCAACTCCTGGAATGTCTTCTCACAAGAATCATTCCACTCAAACTTGACCTCTTTCCGGGTCAACTTCGTCATAGGCGCAGCTAATCGGGAGAAGTCCTCAAT